TCATTACAACTCAAATTCCTAACACATGGAACTAGGGTTCTTCATATCCGAGTGAGAGAGAGTTCTACTCCATAGAGAGAGAGAGAGAGAGAGAGAGAGAGAGGAAAACATAATACAAAGCAGTCATACTCATAATGATGGGAAGAATCGGGTTTGGGATGATAATCTTCACTCCAGGGATAAAATTCAAGCTTGATTGATGAAACCCAGCTCCAAAATCACCTCTAGGGTTAGTTCTTCGCACTTTCTCTCTCTAGGACTATGTTTTTGCTTTGGAAATTTGTCTCCCTCTTCAAAGACCCGAAATTGAGATAAAAACCCAATTCTTCCTGATCACACAGCCATGTGAAATCCCCAGCTGCCCATGTAACTCTCCAAAACGTCGCGTTCTATTTAGTGACTCTAGGTACGCTACACGGCCAAAACCACACGGCCGTGTGGAAATCTGGCCAGCCCGTGTAACTCTCTGGAAATCCAACACGGCCAAAAGGGGTCCTTAGGCGGCCCGTGTGGCTTTGCCCGCGTAAATGTGTTCTACACGGCCAAGTCACACGACCGTGTGGAATTTTGGTCAGGTCGTGTGGCTTCCTCAGCTTTTCGTCATACGTCCCAACTTCGTCCAATCGACCCGGAATTCGTGCCCAAACCTTCATTCACGTACTAGGACTTGAAATATCACAAACAAGAGCACCCTAGCGTGAAATCGGTTTAAAACACCAGAAATGAGGCTCAAACAGTATAGGAATGGTGGACAAAAACATGTGTAAATGTAAAGTCATCATGCTGCAACAAGGATCTTTGTGACAACAGCTCAGCTATAAAGCTATCTAAGAATCCAGTTATGCACGGAAGGAGCAAGCACATTAATGTTCGTTTCCACATCTTGAGAGAGCTGGCCAACAATGGTGTTGTAACAATGGAGCATTGCATGAATTATGAGCAAATTGCAGACATGATGACTAAGGCCCTGAAACTTGAGACCTTTCAGCTGCTTAATGCCAAGCTTATAGTGGTGGATCATGCTGAGTTTGAAGCTGGAGAGTGAACTGAAGCTAAGCAGCCTGGCCCCAATTCAGGGGAGGCTTTGTTGGACAAGAAGACCCTTTTCCAGATCAGGGGAGGCTCTGTTGCACAAGAAGACTCGTGGCATTGGAGGACTGGTTGAGTTTGGCGCCAAAGTTTGAGTTTGAGTCTGAATAAAACAGCATCGTCTAGAGTCTTACAGTGTACCTAATGTTTTAAGTTTGGTTAGTTGAGTCAGTAGTAATTGTCGATAACAACTTGAGTTAGTTTTTAGTTGTTTGTTAGTCATGTTGTAGTTATGTAGGAGAGTGGGATTGAGGTCATTTGTTAAGGCTGATTTCCTTGGCTAGTTTGTGTATTTATACTCTCCATCTATCAATAAAGAAAGTCGTCAAAATGCAATACGTTTTGGCTTACACCCACAAAATGAGCACCCTCTTGAAGGTTGAAGAGCTGAGAGTTGACACAAGACATTGATAGGTAGAGGAGATGAATGACAGAAGACAATGGGCTCTTCAGCTCAATTCGTATGTGCTTGTTAGCCTTAGTCCTATGTAAATCTTGGACTTTTAACTTGTATTGGGATTGTCCAAGGATGGTGAAATGCCTGTTCAGTTTTGTGCCTTCTCTAGCCCATGAACTAGGGGTGGGCATCTAACTCGGTTACCCGACACCAAACATGAACTATAAAATACCACCTACAGTTTGGAATTGAGCCATACCTTCACTGCTTTTGTTTGTTTGGTTCGAAATAAACCGAACCGAACTCCTAGTCCCAATGTCCTCTCCCTCTAGTTCTCTCATTTCAATCACTGCGTCTTCCTCCACTGGCCGTGCAACTCGTCTGCTCTCCATCTCTCGTCCCGTCTTCGCCCAATTGACACCCGAACTCGTGTCAAACCTTCATTCATGCATTAGGACCTGAAATGTCATAAACAAGAACAACCTAGCGTAAAATCGCCTTAAAACCCGAGATCCGAGCCTCAAATAGTATAAGAATGGTGGAACAAAAAATGTGTAAATATCAAGCCATCAGCGACAATCCTTTGGGACTTCAGATTCTTTCGTTTAGGAATAAGAGCAATGAGTGTGAAATTGAGTTCTGCAGGTATGCTTCCAATTTCCAAGTAGTGTAGAAGATCGCTGGTGATTTGCGGCCTGAGGGTCTCCCAATTTTATTTGAAGAAGAGTGCTGGGAAACCATCGTTTCCAGGAGTTTTGAGGGACCCTATCTGGTACAGAGCTTTGTAGACTTCCTCCGTTGAACAAGGCCGACACAAGTAGTCGTTCATTTCTGGAAAAACTCTGGGTTTTATTGCATCAACGACCTTCGATCTTCCTGAATCCCCTTGACTGGTTAAAAGCCCAACAAAATGATCTCTAAGACAACCAAGGTTGAAGAAAGCATTAGACGTAAGGCCAGTGTTGAGGATCTGCCTTGCGCCTAGCATGCTTAGGCGTCGCCTAGGCGTGCCTAAGCGTTAGATGTAAACGCATCATAATATCTGCTACTTTCTTAGAATCACAAGTTTATGAACCAAATATCATCGTATCTACTTCTCATTTCTAAACTTTCATCAACAACACATGGTAAAACATAAAATATAGTGTGGAGAAATGAGTAAGGAAGAAGAAGCTGAAAAAAAAACTAAGCATGTTGAGAGAAGAAGTGCAAAAAAGAAAGAAGAAGCTACTCTAAATATTTTCGTCTCTAACTATATCCTAGCCTAACTATTTGATAAATCAAAACCGTCCTCCCTAGTAGCCTATCAAAAGTTAGAAAAAGACATCGTGACATCATTTTGAGGCGCAACTCCTTGCTGACTAGGCGCGATCGAAGCCACAACGTGATTGTGACGCCTTCTCCACTACTTTTTGTCAAAGCGACGCGTTTTCCTTCTGACTTGCGTCTAGGTGAGCTTAGACGAGTGTCTAGGCACGCTTTTTAGAATCATGAATATAGCTACTCACCTCCTGTTGCCCCATCAAGATCTGACCATATTCATTTTGGAGCTTTTTTATGGTGTTCTTCCGTCTTCATTCAGATGCTCTACAATGAAAGAGTTTTGTATTCTTGTCGCCACCCCTAAGCCAGTCAATCCTCGATCTTTGGCGCCATTTTTGTTCTTTAATGAGGAGGATTTCCCCCTTCTCATTTTCCAAATCTCGTCGTCTTTGAACCAATCATCTGGTCTTTGCTCGCCTTCCAAGCTCTTAAGCTTGCTGTCAATTTCTTTTAGTCTCTCCTTTAATTTACCAAATCTCTCTTTGCTCCAGCCCTGCAATTTCATTTTTCACTTTTGAAGCTTCCCAATTGAGTCATTACTTCCTCCCGAAGACCAAGCTTCTGCCACCACCTGCTTGCTATTTTCTTCTTTTGCTTAGAATGCTTCGTATTGGAAACGAGACCCCCATCTTATTTCTTCTCATCCGCCCCCTTCCGTGTCAATGCAGAGGGCTCGATGAACCAAATTCGGCCTCCCTAAATGGCGGACTAACGTATTTGGGAAAGCTTGAGCCCTATCATAATTACTTACAGCCTGGTCCAAGTGCTCTTCAATTGTCCTTGATCCATCTGTTTCATTGTCCCAAGTATAGGGATATCCAACATAGCCCAGGTCTTCAAGGCCCACTTTTGTCAGGACATTTGCGAAATCTTGGATGGCAACTTCACCATCAATGTTGCCGCCTCTTTTCTCGTCGAAGCTGATAATTTGATTGAAGTCTCCCGCTACCAGCCAAGGTAGTGACAACCTGGAATGGAGAAGACATAGGAGCTCCCACAACTTATATTTCTCTTGACTATACGGCCACCCATAGAAACCAGTAAATCACCCCTCCAAATTCATCTCTTTATAGAGAATGGTAGTATCAATATGATTTTTTAACATAGTTTTGAGTGTAAGCTCCACTTATGAATCCCAAAATAGTGCCAGACCACCTGAACCATTCGTCCCCGGGACCCCTAATTCAGCCATACCTTCACTGCCTTTGTTTGTTTGGTTCGAAATAAACGGAACCGAACTCCCACTCCCACTCCAATGTCCTCTCCCTCTAGTTCTCGCATTTCAGTCAATGCGTGTTCAATTCATTTGTCACCTAAACGTAAAACTTACTATTTTCATGGTCGGATTGCTGGTTTAGTATTCCATCCTAGAAACTAAAAAGTAAAACTTGAAAATATAGAAGGAGCGGGATTTCAGAAAATATAGAAGGAACAAAGATTCTGTCAGTGGGAAACAGACGTTAACTAATTCGATATCAGATTCGCTTCAGTCGGCACCTTGCCTTAGGGCTGGCTATTTGGTCCGGGTTTTTTGGTTTTACCCGAAATCAGACCGTATAACCCGGATCGAGACCGGATAGTAAACAATCCAATCCAATCTTTGGGTTTAGATTTGAGGTAAAAAACCATTCGGGACCGGATCGAAAACTAGATAAAGACTGGATAAGAGAGCTCAACACCCAAAACTTAAGGATAATTTGCATAAATGATCACAAACCTTTGCACTTAGTACAAAATTTAACCAACTTCTCTCCTTTCAGGCCTTAGGCCACTCAAATCCATACAAGCTCAATATAAAATCAAGACCGAATTGGGACCGGACCGGATAAAGACCAGAATGTATCCAATTCAATCTTTGATCCTTATATTTTCAAAAAGACCGAACTGGACCGAATCAATTTGAGCCAATTTAACCGAACCGGACCGTATAGCCACCCCTACCTGGCCTGGCACTAGGGGTGGGCATCGGTTCGGTTCGGTTCAAACCGAACCGAACAGGAGTATTCCGGATCCCCGATTCGCAGCAAACTTCAAACCGATTCCGAACCAAAATTTATTTCGGTTCGGTCTGGTCGAACCGAGATATATTCGGTTCGGAATCGGTTTTCAGGCTTAACCCGAATTTTCACCCTTTCCCCTTATCTTCTGCGTCAAAAGCCTCAAAAAAGGCAGAACCATTTGTTTGGCCCTCTCTCTTCCCCTGATTTCCCCCTCTCCTTCTCTCTCTTCTCTTCCCCTCTATCGCAATCGCACACCGCCGAGCGCCGACTACCTCCAGAGACTAGAAGCGTCATCATCTTCTCCTTCACCTTCTCGCCCCGGCTTCTACCTTCCCTTCGCCTTCTCGCCCCGGCTTCTACCTTCCCTTCGCCTTCAGATCCGACGCCTAAACCTCTCTCCGGCTCCGACCAATCTCTGCTCGCTCCGTCTGTCTCCTGCTGCCGCCACTACCTCTCTCATCCGCCTCCTCTTTGTCTCTCGCTCTCGGAAGAATCGACAGAAGACGGCCGTCACCAATCCCTCTCTCCGGCTCTGGCCTCTCCTCTCTCCCTCGATCTCGAACTTCCTTCTCTGCAATCTGCATGCTCGTTGCTCCTCTCCTCTTCTGTCGTGGCGGCCGCTGTGTGAGATTTGAGGTGGGACGAGATGGGTTTTGTTTAGGGTTTCATTGGGCTGGGCTAGGGTTAAGGGTGAGAAGTGTGGGCGCTGTGTGAGGTGGGACGAGATGGGGGTTTGGGCATTGTGGGCTTAGGTTTTGTATTGCCTGGGCTTGGGTTTTAGTGGGCTACTGGGCTGTGGGTAATAGAGTGGCTTAGAGTTGGGCTATTATGGGCAAGTTTCGGTTTTCGGTTCGGAATTCGGATTTTCGGTTTCGGTCGAAGGAACCTGGTTTCCGAACTTACCACATTTCTCTGCCGAATTCCGAACCGAACAATATAATTTCGGTTTCGGTTCGGTTTTGCTCGGTTTCGGTCCGGTTCGGTTCGGGTTTACCGAACCGGACGCCCACCCCTACCTGGCACCTATTTAAATTGTTGTGAGTAGCGCTTCCGCCTCCTCTCTTTATCCCCCCATTGCCGTCGCGTCGTCCCTCTCCCATCCCATCCCTTTTCCCCCATTCCTCCTTCCCTTTCTCCGAGATCCAATCTAGGGCAAGGGCCGGTTCATCCTTCGCCAGATCCTCCTCCACCCTCTGGTTTCTCAGTAAGTCGCATCTCTCTTTTCCTCCCTCTATCTACTCTTCGCATAGCTAGCTAGATCTGGATTCAGGTCATATGTAATCTACGATTCATTTTCCCTTTCTTCGACCTATACAGCTGACAAAGGAATTGTTTTTGCCGTATTCATTTTGTAACGACGTTAGATCTAATGCGTTGTTATTGTTCTTTGCTCGCGCCGGCTTCTTGTTCTCTCCGATAATGTATTGCGTTTGATGTGTTTATCTAATGAAGGATGGTGTATTGATTATTGTTTTATTGGTAACCGAATCATTTGGATGCGTCCTTCATTGTTACGTTAGTCTCGTTAGGTTACCTGGGGGAATAGAAGGATCGGATGCATCTGTAGTGGCTTTTATTGTTTGATTAGTGCATTCAGATCTTGTTTTCCCATTATGAGATGCTTTGCAACATTTCGTAGTCATAATGGGCAAAAGCCAATCAACCTGCGAGGAATGTTCATTGATGATTAATTTTCTATCTTCTGTGACTAGAAGAGCCGCTACTTGGAGCTTAGCTTATGATTTTTTTTTGGGTTATTACTTTCTGATTGTTGCTCGCTAATTTGCGGTGTCCTTGGTGCAGAAGAACAAGATGGGTCTGTCATTCACGAAGCTCTTCAGCCGGCTTTTTGCCAAGAAAGAGATGAGGATTCTTATGGTGGGTCTCGACGCAGCTGGTAAGACCACCATCTTGTACAAGCTCAAGCTGGGAGAGATCGTCACAACCATTCCTACAATCGGTTAGTTTATGCCAACCACAGTAGTAGAGCTTGAATATATTTAATCAACTAAACTGCTTCTAATGCTGCGCTCTGTGTCATCAGGATTTAATGTTGAGACTGTGGAATACAAGAACATTAGCTTCACCGTCTGGGATGTTGGGGGTCAGGACAAGGTATGGTTACTCTTCATCGTTATCATCTGTTTTGGAAACGGACAATCTGGTATTACCACTATTTTTCTGCCTGCTGTGCTTGCATTGCAACTTTTATGAGTGTCTAGTTGTGTAAATGTAGTCTACTTAAGTGCTCTAGATAGGCTTCTTTTGATCGTGAAAACTGATGCTATGTTGCCTTATTGAGATAAACCTGAATGTGCTTATTGACGGTCTTGTGCTGATTAGTTGCCTTCATTAGCACACAACATATTCATAAGCTAAATTTATCAGAGCCAGTTTGGGCTTCTTCAGCTCTTTCTCCAGTTAATGGGATAAGGCTATCAGCTCCGTGGCTGAAATTTCATATCTTAACTGTACGTTATGTGAGTTTTATGTGTCAATTTGTGCTTATGGACGGTCTTGTGCTAATAAGAAATTAAATCATTAGCACATAACATATTCATAAGCTACATTGAAGATTGTCATCTTGTCTTTCGAGCCTTTTCTATTTGAAATTTGGAGATGCTATCCATATTGTGGCAAATATTTCTTGTTCATAGGTACTGGTCACTTGGTAAGTGCCCATTGTGTTAAGTTATCTTCTTTTTTTAGTTTTTCCATATTCACAGGCGGTTTTTTGTGCTTATTGACGGTCTTGTGCTAATAAAAAACTGAATCATTAGCACACAACATAATCATAAGCTACACTAATTAGAGCCAACTTGTCTTTCAAGCTCTTCCTTTATCAAATGAGGAAAGGCTGCCCATGTTGTGGCAGAAATGTCTATTTTGTGACTACATGTTTGATCAATGTACGGTAATGTTATTTGATGTACCATCTCTTAAGATTCTTGTCCTGGTTACTTGCATGCACCAACACCAATTAGCTCTCACCATTCTGTGAGAGTAGCTGTTGGGAAATGCTGTCTCTACATCATTTTGCCTTCACATATTCACGACCCTATATGCTTATTACGGTCCTGTGCTAATATTAAATTAAACCATTAGCCCACTACATAATCATAAGCTACATCGACCCAGCCATCTTGTCTTTCGAGCTTTTCCTTACTCATATGAGGTCAGGCTATCCATGTCGTGGCAAACATGTTACTGGTCACTTGCATTAGTCGTTACTATTGTACTTGTACTTGTTTAATGGGAGGATCAGTCTAGAATTAATTCCTCGTTATTATTACTGCCTATTTACAGGCTTTTCTTCTTTTGTGCTTATTGACGGTCTTGTGCTAATAAGAACATAATTCATTAGCACACAACATTATCATAAGCTACATTGACTGGAGCCATCTTGTCTGTTAAGCCTTTTCTCCATCATATGGAGTTAAGGCTATGTACATGTCGTGGCAAACATGTTTGCCATTCTCCTACTCACATCTTCTTTTGTCTTGGCTTTTATGTATCACACTTTTGTATATGATTCTGGCAGCTAAAGTAGGTTGCATTGACTTCTATAATTGTATGTTGTTTGTAAATGAACTGTGTTGTTGTTGACAACAGATCCGACCCTTGTGGAGACACTACTTCCAGAACACCCAGGGACTGATCTTTGTGGTTGATAGCAATGATCGTGACCGTGTTGTGGAGGCCAGGGACGAACTCCACCGCATGTTGAACGAGGTGTGTTCATATATATTTCTCTGAGCTTGATTTTCACAAGTCATAATTGAAGCTTGTTCTTTCATCTCTAATCTCCCCGTTTCTGCCCCCTGTCCAATATGCAGGATGAGTTGAGGGATGCTGTTCTCCTTGTTTTTGCAAACAAGCAGGATCTTCCTAATGCCATGAATGCTGCTGAGATCACTGATAAGCTCGGCCTTCATTCCCTTCGTCAGCGCCACTGGTATACTATTTTGTTTCGCTTCACAGTTGTTTTTCTCACAAGTTTGTCCAGTGGACATCTGCTACATCTGGTGAAGGGCAATAATGAGGGAAATGGCTAGCTCGTCACTAATGGATGATTCTGTTTCAGGTATATCCAGAGCACCTGTGCTACATCCGGTGAAGGGCTTTACGAAGGACTGGATTGGCTGTCCAATAACATTGCAAACAAGGTATATACCCTACAGTTTCAACTGATTCGTGTGAACGGTAGCTTCAGTTTCACAATTCCTAACTCTTTTGTGCTTGAATCTTCTCAGGCATAGACGAGTAACTGACGTTTCATATTTGTGCGGCTTCCCTACTACCGCTAGGCGATGGATCGATATGTTATATTTTGGTCTTTTTTTTTAATGATTCCCTGATCCTTTAATTGTCGAGAGAAGAAGGTGATGATATGTCTTGTGTAGATTCAAATAATTCCCGTATGATTCGTATAATCCTGTAATGAGATTGCTATGTTACCATTTTTTGGCTTTGGAAAAGATTCTTCAGGTGATTTTACTTGTTACGTAGGTAGCTAAGCTTGGCTCGTTTCACCCACTTTCCAATTCCCGTTATTCCACTGGTCGCGAGAGGCAGATTGTGAGATTCAAAGCCATGGCATGTCATGTGGAGGCAACCACGTGATCAAAAGGAGATTACGAAATAGACTAAGTCTGAGATCTGGCCATATTGAACGCAACTCCATGGCGTGCCCGAGAGGAGGTAACAATTGATTATTCCATGTTCGAGGACACGCCAACCACGTCTGAGGAGAAATGAGACGGTTCTTTTTGGAAGTTACTCAACAAACGGATTTTTACGACAGTTATCTCCTCATGACTATACATAGGAGGATGACTTGACAGAGAAGGGGTCCCAAAGCACACAAATGATGTCAAATTTTATATTTTCTATGCAAATGTAACCATAGTCGTTTGGAGCTTTTGTTGAACCTCCACATAAGTAGGAGTAATTTAATTTAGCTTTTGTTCCCATAAATCATCGATCAAACAGGCTTGTTCGAACTTTGTTTGAAGAGGTGTGAGTCGTGTCTTAGTAATCATTTGGTTAGAAGTCAAAGGTGCATTTAATTCAATTCAACGCTAGTTTTCTCGCCAGAAAATAAATTGGCACGCCCAGTGGGACCTTGTGTTTTGATTGATGGCTCCAAGACATAGGCGACAGGAAGGTGATCCCTCACCAAGGTTTGTGATGAAGCAAGTGGCTAAGTTTGAACTTGGCCAATACAAAGAGAGTGTTACTGGAAAGAATGGCATGGTAGAAACTTTGCCACCAGTGGCACCAAGTATTGATATAACCAACAACATCAATTTAATTACTTCACCAGATGTTGGAGGAAAATCACAAGATGATGGCAAAGAACCATCACGTTTCAAAGGAGAATCAAATGTTGAGAGCGGAGAACTCTGAGCAATGGAGAAACATGGTCAGTCCATGGAGGGACGTCTAGTTGGCCTTGATCGTGGTACTCAATAGGTAAGCCTCCGACTAGCATCTCTTTGTTTTCCTCCACATAATTGTGTAAGTCAACTTATAGAGTTGGTTAACAAAAATAATTGTTATTTAAATGATTTCAAACACTTGTTGATAAAATGAGTGGTTCAATCAAGAGCTCTACCACTAGATGGTATAGAGTCACCACTAAACGATGCTATATGGAGTTTGAATCTTCCTCCTACTGGTCGTTAGAATGGTAGACCATGTCAAGGAACCTCACTGACA